CTTTTGTTACTTGATAAAATGTTAAAACCGGGGGGGGGGGGGGAAGCAAAACATTTAACAAACATGAAAATGGTGATGATAATGTCTAAGGTAATAACTTTGACTGGACTAACATACAGTGTATTCATGCTGGGAAAATCTATCTTGTATGCTGTAAAAAATATACAGTGATTGAATGTAAAAAAAGAAAATTAAGAAGAGAAAAGAAAAAACTCATGAATGAATGCGAACTCAATTCAGTGGGTTGAAGAGACAAAGGATATTAGCATGGTCTCAAAGTACCTTCCACTGAAGATATTTATCATTTACAAAGGGAAGAATAGTAACTTCAAAGTGGAAAAATCTGGAAGACACTGAAAACAAAGTGATCAATGTTAAAATTATCAATAAAAAAATATATAAACACCATGTACTCCCGATGATTCAATGAGGAGATAATATAATCTGTGTGATATTTTTGCCCCGAAATTCATAATCTCAATTTACCCAAGAGAAAATTTATCATTTACAAAGGGAAGAATAGTAACTTCAAAGTGGAAAAATCTGGAAGACACTGAAAACAAAGTGATCAATGTTAAAATTATCAATAAAAAAATATATAAACACCATGTACTCCCGATGATTCAATGAGGAGATAATATAATCTGTGTGATATTTTTGCCCCGAAATTCATAATCTCAATTTACCCAAGAGAAAATAGCAGACACACTGAAATTGAGAGACATTTTACAAAATAACAGACCAGTACTCATCAAAAGTGTCATGAAAGACAAGGAAAGAATGAGATGTTGTCACAAACTGGAAGAGGCTAAGGAGACACAACTACATTCAGTGTAGGATACTGCACTGGATCCTGGAACAGAAAAAAAGACATGGAAGTGGGGAATGGTGAAATGCAAACAAGAACATTAGTTTAACAGTACTGAACCAACATTCATTTCCTGGTTTTGAAAACTGTACCATGGTTATATAATAATCATAATTTTAAATAATGAAGGTGAGTTAACATTAAGGGACACTATGTAGAGTCTAAGGAAGTCACAGGAATTCTAATATTTTTGCAACCCTTCCATAAACCTAAAAGTACCCTGAAAATTGGAAACGCTAATGCAATGAAGTTCAAAAATGTGAATTTCCTATTGGATAAGAGAGAAACAAAATGGTAAAGAGCTCATTGTCTAATGAAAAGAAACATACAATTCAGGACAGAGAAATATTTCCTCGAGAGTGAGTTCAGAATAATTGCACAGTATATGATGGCTTAAAAAGAATCTAAATCATTCATTTTCTTAATGATGGCAAGTGTGAACAAATCTGGCAATTAGCAATTAATATTATGTAAATATTCTAAGTCTGATATACATTCATTAATAACACCTCCTCCTCCTTTACAATCAATCCTTCCTTCTTGGCTAAGGAAGATTTAGTAAGAAACCAAAAGGATATATGAACAAAAAGGACTGAAAGAAAAGTTCAAGACTTCTATTTTGTTTTCAAGAAGTGACAACAATGATTTGTTTTATCAAAGGATCTTTGACCTTTAAAAACACTATGACGACATGAAAAGACGGATTTGCAGAACTGTGTTCTCATTAACTCAAGATCCAGTTTTCCATTAAGCTTAACTCCTTACGTACTTCAGGGTAGAAAGATTAATCTTCCAATAATCTAGCACCAGAACTGCTTTAAAAGCAAATATTGCTAACCACGAACAAAGAAACAAATGCTACATGATTTTTGGTTTTCAAATAATCCAACAGTGACACTTTGTGGGCAAGATAGGAAATACCTAAGCATCTATTTTTCTTGATAAATTCATCTCTAAATCACATTGAAACTTTTCCTGTAATAAGACAAGGTATAAATAAGTAAAGAAACAGTACATTTCAGAATAGCTCTTTATTCTAAAACTAAATTATGAACTTTAAGAATAGTTCTAATACATATGTACTGAGTAATTATCAATACCTTTGTTTCCAAATATATGATCAAAAATTACTTGAATTAACCTTGCATTATGAACTTATTAGATAGGCGAAATAATATCGAATTATAAAATAGGTTCATATATCAGCACAATATTACCATCTTACCTATGTAAAGAGCTTCACGCCTTCCAAGGGGCTTTCACATAATTATGTCAGAAACCATAACACCTGGTAGGCAATTAACATTATCCCCAAACAGAAACATATTGGGGCTGAAAGAAGTTGAAAACTGCCCATACTACTTAAGTAACATTAATATTCACATTCTTATGGAAGTAAATATATGCATTTCCTGTAAGCCAAATTATATTCGAGAGAACTTCAAAAAGTTTATGGGAAATAGAATTACAAGTGTATTTTGGTACAAAGGAAAAGAATCTGAAATCCATGCATAGTTTTTTTCATTTTTTCTCCACATATTTTTTGAAGCTCCCAAATATAGTTTAAAAATCTATTTTAGTCAATTTAAGAGCATGAAACAGCAGAATGCGGTGATAATGTTTAACAGTACAACCATTTCAGGAAAACCGTTTGGCAGATGATGGCTTAAAAAGAATCTAAATCATTCATTTTCTTAATGATGGCAAGTGTGAACAAATCTGGCAATTAGCAATTAATATTATGTAAATATTCTAAGTCTGATATACATTCATTAATAACACCTCCTCCTCCTTTACAATCAATCCTTCCTTCTTGGCTAAGGAAGATTTAGTAAGAAACCAAAAGGATATATGAACAAAAAGGACTGAAAGAAAAGTTCAAGACTTCTATTTTGTTTTCAAGAAGTGACAACAATGATTTGTTTTATCAAAGGATCTTTGACCTTTAAAAACACTATGACGACATGAAAAGACGGATTTGCAGAACTGTGTTCTCATTAACTCAAGATCCAGTTTTCCATTAAGCTTAACTCCTTACGTACTTCAGGGTAGAAAGATTAATCTTCCAATAATCTAGCACCAGAACTGCTTTAAAAGCAAATATTGCTAACCACGAACAAAGAAACAAATGCTACATGATTTTTGGTTTTCAAATAATCCAACAGTGACACTTTGTGGGCAAGATAGGAAATACCTAAGCATCTATTTTTCTTGATAAATTCATCTCTAAATCACATTGAAACTTTTCCTGTAATAAGACAATGTATAAATAAGTAAAGAAACAGTACATTTCAGAATAGCTCTTTATTCTAAAACTAAATTATGAACTTTAAGAATAGTTCTAATACATATGTACTGAGTAATTATCAATACCTTTGTTTCCAAATATATGATCAAAAATTACTTGAATTAACCTTGCATTATGAACTTATTAGATAGGCGAAATAATATCGAATTATAAAATAGGTTCATATATCAGCACAATATTACCATCTTACCTATGTAAAGAGCTTCACGCCTTCCAAGGGGCTTTCACATAATTATGTCAGAAACCATAACACCTGGTAGGCAATTAACATTATCCCCAAACAGAAACATATTGGGGCTGAAAGAAGTTGAAAACTGCCCATACTACTTAAGTAACATTAATATTCACATTCTTATGGAAGTAAATATATGCATTTCCTGTAAGCCAAATTATATTCGAGAGAACTTCAAAAAGTTTATGGGAAATAGAATTACAAGTGTATTTTGGTACAAAGGAAAAGAATCTGAAATCCATGCATAGTTTTTTTCATTTTTTCTCCACATATTTTTTGAAGCTCCCAAATATAGTTTAAAAATCTATTTTAGTCAATTTAAGAGCATGAAACAGCAGAATGCGGTGATAATGTTTAACAGTACAACCAATTCAGGAAAACCGTTTGGCAGATTCTTACACAATAAGACTTCCCTCTACCTCATCTATTTCCACTCCCGGGCATTTACCCAAATTATATGTAAACATATATTCACCAAGAGACTTCCATAAGCATGTTCATAGGCATTTTACTCATAATAGCCCCAAATTGGAAACAACCCACATGTCCATCAGAAGAATAAATTGCAAATATTCACATAATAGTACCACCCAGCAATAAATGGGAATGAGATGTTACTATGAAATGAATCTCCAAACATTATTCTAAGGAAATGAGACCATGACTCAAGAGTACACGCGGTATAATTCTATTTATATTAAGTTCTAGGACAAGCAAAACGAATCTACGATGAGAAAATGTTTGAGACTGGACTTCCTGGGAAGAGACCTGACGTAACTTTTTGTGGTGATGGAAATGCTTATTAGCTTGATAGGGGTATAAGTACACGTATTTATCAAAACTCATTGAACTGTACACTTAGGATCTGTGAACCTCACTGTACGAAATTAAACTCAAGTTTTTTAGAAAAGAAATGTAGCAGATGAAAAGAAGAATTTTGCTTTAAATATACAAACCATATTAGCCTCTCCTGGAAGAGATGAACGTCCTTTTTTATGCACTGGCATAAACTCCATTTCCATAGAACCAGGATTGTATCTTTTTAAATTTCCTGGATGGTTCATTTGCATAGCTGCCTGATGACCTTGTACTAGCAAACCATCAACTCCTGCAGAACAACACAAAAAAAAAAAAGTTACTTCACACAATCACCACCTAAATAACCTTAACATGGAGGCCGGCAGCTGGCGAGGTGGGTAAGGGCACGGGGCTCCCACAGGGCCAACCTCGGTTGAGTCCCAGACCTGGCTGTTTGCTTTCTCACTTCTCCTTTCCCTTTCCCTCTCTCTCTCTCTCTCTTTCACTGTGTCCCTCTCTGTTCAAAATAAAATAAGTAAGTAAATAAAACGAAAGTTAAATTTAAAAATTCTTTAAAAATAAAAAGAAAGAAAACCTTAACACGAATATGCTCTCAGAATGCTACTTCAAAATGAGGGGCTGGCAGGTGATGTGGTGGCTAAGAGCACTGGACTCCCACATGGCCAACCGTGGCTCAAGTCTCGGACCCCGCGGCTTGCTTTCTCACTTTTCCTCTCTCTCTCCCCCTCTGTCCCTCTCTGGTCAAATTAAAATAAATAAAAGTTCAATAAAATAATTCTTTAAAAAACATAAAGAATGCTACTTCAAAATGAGTTGGGAGTTTTGGTTCATTTTAAAGAGTGACAAAACAAGAATTCTTCCTTGAACTATTTAGAATAAGTCTTTAAAATCTGAAGGGCTGTATTGCCCATGACTAGGAATAAGATCAAATCAAACACAATTCCAAATCCTGAAGTGATTACTTTGCGACTTCAGGTCTACAAAGTAAATGCTGGAAACAAATGAACAGGAGAACACATTGGCTAATTGCTTTTTTTCTTCTTCTTTTTTTTTTTTTTTTTTTTTTGGAGGGGTTTTTATTTTCACTGTAGGGCGCGTGCGCTCGCCAGACAGACAGAGAGAGACATAGAGACAGAAAGCGAGAAATCACCCCCCAGGGGGGATGGTCATGCCGCAATCCCTTCTCCTCCATTCTCCTCTCGGGATCTTGGGCACGCACGCACATGCACCTGGCGTGCGTTTAAGTCACCGGGTCCGGGACGCGAACCATGGTGGACTACGTGGGAGTCCAGAGACATAGCCATTACGCTAACTGCTGGTCCCATGATGGCTAATTGCTTTTGAAAAGGAAGTCAAAAAGGCTTTTTACTTAGAGAGGCAACCTGTTTCCAAAATGTGAACAAGGAGTTGGTTCCGGATTGAGTCCTACAGCTATGTGGTCTGGGCCGACATTATGATCTCATTATTAGTTATATTTTATATGAAATCTAAATAAATGGACAGTCTAGAACGATGAGTCACTGAACTATGGATCTATTATAGGGGGAAAAAACACTGACTTTAATGATGTCATTATTATAGCCTGTCCTTTTTTTTTTTAAGATTTTATTTTTTTATTTACACTTAATCACTGTACATCTTTACATGGTTTTCTGATTCTTTACATGGTTTTCTGATTAGAAAGAACCCCGTATCAGTTACTGGTGAGGGGCACGTTAACGAAAGAGCTCACTCACTTTATCCAGCCTGAGCCAGACCAGTCCTAAGAGACATAGTTTAGAAACTCAGATTCACTTCTCTTTCCTGTTCCCATTTCATTTTAGAATGGAGATACTAATGACCAAGGGCCCGAAACAGAAATCAAGGGGAGATGAAGAAGATGGGCGAAGTTAACTCTCAAACTAGATAAATGCAAGATGCAGCTGTATAAAAATTTCAGGTTATAAAATGCATTCGATTTGAGCTGTAACATCAATCAAATTTTATTTTTTAAACTGTTTTTTTTCTGACAATACAACACGAGCTTTGAGTGAGTAAACAGTGGTGTATTCATAAAAAAGAAGACTCACAGCAATGACAATAAACTCACTACTGCTATACACAATGAGGATGAATCTCACAAACATAACATTGAATATAGCATAAGCCAGACACAGAAGAGAATATAGCATATAGCATATGCTATCATTGAAACAAAGCTCAGAAACAGGCAAGAGAAATCTGCGGTGGGAGAAGTCAAGAGAGTAGTTACTTTGAAAGGGGGTTAATGACTGTAAAGGGAATGGGGGGGGGCATTCTGGGAAGCGTATAACCTGTATTTCTTGGTTATACTCATGTATTCGTCTTAAAATTACTTGGGTTATACATTTATGATTTGTGTATATTTTTGTATGTAATATACTTCTCTAAGAAGTTTACTTAGGGGTGCCCCACATCACAACAGTTAAGTGCTATGTGGAGGGAGCTGGGTCCTACATGGCCCACAGCAGTTTGAATCCAGCCCCAGGGCCATGAAGATATTCCAGGTACATGTGCATACATGCTTAGGAGAAAAGGAGATTGCTGCATAACCAGGCCCCATTGGGGGGGTGCTTTCTCTCTCTCTCCCTCTCTCTCTCTAGCTGGTACACACACGTGCACTCTGACATATGTGATTAAATATAAATAAATAATGAAAAAAATTAAAAGGAAATTCTCCTTTGTTTTTAGGTTATTTTTTTTTAATTTGCCACAGGGCACATGTGCTCACCAGAAACAGAGAAGGAAAGGGAGAAAGCACCCCCTCCATGGGATATGGTCATACCACAATCCCTTCTCCATTTCTCCATCCTGTTGGGATTTAGGGCACAC